CACTGGGGATTGAGCCTGCAACCTGGGTATGTGCCCTTGACCAGAATTGAACCTGGAACCCTTAAGTCCGAAGGCCAAGGCTGTATCCACTGAGCCAAACCATCTAGGGCAAGATTTTACTTTTTTCATTTGTTTCTTCCTCAGAAAAGATGGGATTAAAGAGTGGTGAGAAGTTTAAGGGAGGATTATAAAGGAGCAAATTAGATTATGTATACTAACAAGGTTAGTCCTCCGTAGCCTGCAGGAACAAGAGGAGATCCCATCAACCAGACTTCTGAAGATCCTTCTATCCCCACCCTCACACTCAAGTCCCACCTCCAGGGAGGAGCTTTGGTGGGTGAGGTCTTAAAGAGATTCACCCTCCTAGTGGTATATATAGGCCAGGCTCACATTACTAAGCATTTAACTGGTAGGAGACTGGCTTCAGAGACTCTTCTTGGAGGCGCGCTTCAGGGACTCACTCAAAGGAGCAGGCCCCAGCTACCAGGGTGAGCTTGCGTCATCGGCCGGCCGCCATCGACATCGCGGAGAGATACCCTTGAGGCCTGGCCCGGGCTGCCAGTCACTGAGCCGCTGGTCCGCACCGCACCGAGGGTCCCGCGGACTCTAGCAGGGCCTTGACTTTACCTCACAAGCCAATCATCACTTGGATTCAGGTTATTTTAAGAAACATACTTTCATTATTGCTGGTGTCCCTCAGTTAGCCTTGCCCTACCTCATCTAAATGCTTGCAAAAAATACAGATACCAGGATCCCAATCTGACCTAATGGGTTATTAATACCCCTTAGTCAATACCCTCGTGCAAAGTGCCCTGAAGTGCTGGTCTGAAGCTGCCTGTGGGAATGTTACAGAAGACTGGAGAAAAACCAAGCCAGGCTTAGAGAAAGGGGAGTTACATTTTAATTATGGGCAGGCCAAGAGAAAAATGTGTCTTTCAAATTCTGGGCCCCTCAGTATGGAGGAAACTCTCTCTATTTATACTTTTTCCAGTCCTTTGTCTCCCAAATTTGGAATGAGACTTCCGGGCCTTCTGAGAAAGAAGGCCTGCTTGCTGGGAAGGGGCCATGAGATCATATCTCAAGGCCTGGCCTGGTGTCAACACTGACAACTCTGTCTGGGGCATAGTTTACGGCCTCTCTGGAATGGGAGTAGTCTTATTTTCCTTATTATTTAAGCAAGCAAGCATTTACAGAAGCCAAAATAGGGTTAAAAATTTCAAAAGCAGCTTTTATATAAGATGGATGCTTCAGGAATCCTCTTCTAGAATGTCTCAATGTCTGGTGTCAAATTCTTTTTGTTTAAAACCAGAAGTCCCTCCCTAGCCAGTTTGGCTCAGCTGATAAGAGTACCTGGGTTCGATTCTGGTCAAGGGCATATACAGGGTTGCAGACTCAATCCCCAGTGTTAGGCCTGCAGGAGGCAGCCAGTAAATTATTCTCTCTCCTCATTGATGTTTCTACTTCTCTCTTCTCTTTTTCTCTCCAAAATCAATAAAAATATATTTTAAAAATAAAACCAGAGGTTCCAAGAGGTTTACCTAAATTGAGGTGTATGCTGACACCAAACTGAAAGGGAAGCTGTTGCTATTTTCCTGGTTGCATCTGTCTCTGAAGGAACAGATGATCAAAAATCCCATCCCCAATGACTCAGGCAGACTGAGATCAGACCTGAAATCCAGCCCACATAACGTACAAGCAGGTGGCACTTTAATGCCAGCCTTGGTCTTTTCTCAATTTCTATATGGGAGACTTGTTGGCTGGGATGAGAAACAGGGAAGCAGATAATGGATTTGAAGTGGAGAAAGGGGACCAGTTTGAAACAACTGTGAGGGAGAAAGGAGTTGAAGTGGATCTGAGAGCTCTGAGATGAAGGGAAATGGATGAAGCTTAAGGACGGGAGTAGGAGAAACCTTCTTGGCTAGAAGAGAGCAGGGACCTGAGGCTGCATGGCACTGGGCCTGGCCGGGGGACCACAGGCCTTGCCCACCACCCTGGTGCTAGGCTGGGGAACCTCAGGCAATGCCCCCCACCGGGCGGGGCTTGACAGGGGACCTCAAGGCGTGTCCCCTGCCCTGGTGCCGGGCTGGGGTACCTCAGGCTGCACCTCCTGCCCTGATGCTGGGCTGAGGGACCTCAGGCTGTGGGCCCTGCCCCGGGTCGGGGAACCTGACGGTGTGCTGGGCGACCTGAGGCTGTGCTCCCTGCCCAGCATAGCCTGACGAGGGTGAGGCTGGCCAGGTCTGGATCTCACCCAATGGGGGTGGGGCCAGCTGGGTCTCTCACAATTTTGAGGTGCCATGGGTGGGCGGGGACTTGACTCTGGGTCCCTGGGCACACCCCAGACTCTGACAGGAGGAAGATTTTCATATACATTTTACTACTTTTCTTTTATTCCTGACACTTCAATTATAGAGAAAGAGCAAATAGCAATATTAAAATATTTCCTCTAATTAATCCCCTTTTAATGTGGACAAATTTCGTGCACCTGGCCACTATTATTCTATAACTAATTTTTTTGCAACTTTTCCCTATAGTCATACCAGCCTTTTGCCATTTCTGGACAGGAAATCTCTATGAGTTTACTTGTAAACTTTTCATTATATATATAATAAAAGGGTAATATGCAAGTCGACTGAACAGTGGAACGACTGGTAACTATGATGGGCACTGACCACCAGGGGGCAGATGCTCAACACAGCAGCTGCCCCCTGGTGGTCAGTGTGCTCCCACGGGGGAGTGCCGCTCAGCCAGAAGCCCTGAGGTGGGCTTACAGCTGGTGAGCGCAGTGGCAGAGGTGGCGTTAAAAATGCCTGACTGCGGCTTAGGCCCGCTCCAGTCGGACATCCCCCGAGGGCTCCCGGACTGCTAAAGGGCACAGGCAGGGCTGTCCTGTCCAATGACTTTGAGTTGAATGTACCCTCCTTCCTTCTTATTCCCCAAGTCCCCTGTTGAGGGTTTTGCTTCCTGGTCACACATGTGCTTGGTGCTTCACCTCTGGTCTCCTCACAGAAGCAGCCTCTGGTAGGCAGGACCTCACTCCTGGGCTTACAAATCCTTCTCTTCCCCACAGTACAAGATCCCTTTTTTTTGGTGATGCTTGAGGCCAATAATAAATTTGCCTAGATTGACTAATTCCTCTTAAGTTGCAAAATAGGTAGACTTTACTTCTCACTCCTCCTTAAATATCTATAATAATAAAAGGGGTGATATGCTAATTAGACAGGATGTCTTCCGGAAGTCCTTCCTGACAAAGGAGGGGCCAGAGGGAAGCCAGTTCAGGTATAGGGTGCCTGCTGGCGGCTGGAGCAGAGAAGCCCGGGTCCCAGGTGCCAGAGGGAAGTGGGTTCTGGCAGCCAGGGGAAGGAAGACCTACTCTTGCACGACTTTTGTGCATCAGGCCTCTAGTTGTAATGATAAATGATTTGGTCTACCTGACATATTGTTCATACAGGGAGGGAAGGGTTAATGCTGATTGAACTTTTAAGTGGTGATATCTTTTGGTCCTCAGAAACCTCTTACGACTTGCATGTTGCTTGTTTTGTTTTTTGTTTTTACCAGAGTCACAGCTGATTTCCACTGGGGGCAACCTGACATTAGATACAGGAGAAGCTTACTAGTATAGGAAGACTGGACATCAGCTGCTCATGGGAACTCTTCTGGGAAGCTCCTAGTGACTTCCACAGAGAGGAAGGCCTGAGCAGACCTCAGCTTCTCACTTTTCCTCAGTCCCGGAGGATCACACGGTCTGAAGAAAGCCTTTTCTGATAGTCACCTTCACTGCACCATGGTCTTTGCTGCTTCCCTGGCCGAGCTCCAAGCAGAGGCCAGCTGTCCCATCTGCCTGGATTACCTGAGAGACCCAGTGACCATTGCCTGTGGGCACAACTTCTGTTCCTCCTGCATCCACCAGCGCTGGGAAGGTCTACAGGGCACCTTTCCTTGTCCTGTCTGCCTCTACCACTGCCCTGACGGGAGCTTGAAGAGGAACACCCAATTATGTTACATGACTGAGATTGCTAAGCAGATTCCTACCTCAGGGATCCAGAGGAAAATGCAGGAAGAAATACCCCTGTGTGGGAAGCACCATGAGGTCCTGACCCTGTTCTGTGAGAAAAGCCTGGAGCTGTTGTGTCCCCAATGCAAGGGCTCCTTAGACCCCCAGGATCAGCCCCTGATCCCCATTGAGGAAGCTGTAGCTAGTCAGAGAGGGATGCTCAAAAGGTACATTGGGGTCCTCACTAAGAGCCTTGAAAGTGATGAAACTGTATATAAAAAGCAAGATGCAAATATTTGTGAAGTAAAGAGAAAGATGGAAAAATGGAGGGAGGAATTGGACTATGAATGTAAAGAACTTAAGTTTTTATTGGAAATAGAGCACGATGAAATTGATAACGATCTGCTTATAGCAGAGAATGATGGTGAAGAAAAACTAATTGAAAACGGAAGGCAAATTTCATACCATATGTTCAGGCTAAACATTCTGTTATTTGAAATAGAAGAGAAGTGTTTGCAGACAGACCTGGATTTACTCACAGGCATTGAAAGCATCCACAACAGCTATGGAAACATAGAGTCCCCAGCCATCTTTTCATATAAATTAAAGAAAGAGATTTTCACTCTCCCCCCACATTATTTGGGCCTGCATAACATGATCCACACGTTTCAGATAGATTTGACACTGGATCCTGAAACTGCCCACCCAAGTCTCATTATATTAAGAAATAGAAAAAGTGTGATATATAGGACATCATTTGGTTTTCATAATCCCCAGGCACTTACTTCTTACCCAGCTGTCCTGAGTTCTGAGGGATTTGATGCTGGCAGGCATTTTTGGGTGGTAAACATAGGAGGCACAGGGGAATGGTCCTTAGGTGTGTGTAAGGACTCTTTCCCCAGAAATACTCTATCATCATCATCCCCAAGCAATGGCTGTTGGACTCATACATTTGGCCCTGCCTCTATAGGACAAGGAAAGATTGGTGTTTTCCTGGACTATGAGTTGGGAGAGGTTTCATTTTATAATTTGAATAGCTGCTCATACTTGCATGGAATCACTGCTACATTTACAGGAAAACTTATGCCTTATTTCTCCGTTGCATCTTCTTCAGAATCTCTTACAACCAGTATCATCAGAGTCTAGTGATGACAAATTTGAAAGAAATTTTGTATGTGCTTAGTCTCTACTCTTGCTGTTGAAAGGAATACTTATAATAAAGATCCTGATTCCAGTTTTGATGTTTGAATGTTGCAAGTTTGTAGGATGCACTTCTCTCCTCCCTGACCTTAACACCTGGGAAGCTGATGAGAAAGTCCAGGTGTCCTATCCTTGCGGGTAGGGGGAAAGTGTCAATCAAACAAGCTTCTGCCAACATCATCCAGTACGTGCCATGAAGACCACAACCTAGTCCCTTTCCCTGTGCTCTCATTTTGGGACCTAATATAATATCCAGCCTTCTCTCTGTCCAAAGCCTCATCATGTGAGTCATAAAATTTTTCATACTCTCATCCTATGTGGTGAGTCATCATCAGTGTGAGCATTTGAAACCAATTTAGGATGGCTCTACCCTGACTATGCAAGCTGGTCACCACCTTTTCCAGATATGAAGGCCCCCACCAGGGCTTCCTCCTCTGGCTTTGGTTTGTAACACACCCTGGTTCCCTAGGCAAGGGTGTCCTTTCAGCTTTGCTCTGCATTTGCTGAGTTCGATGGAGGCTGTGTTGTATATTTAACTGACCTAAGTCAGAAGTTTCGGTAAGAAAGATATTCTAGGCCAGCCAGTGATGCTCCTTCAGTGGTTGAGCATTGACCTATGAACCAGGAGTCTAGGGCACATGCCCTGGTTGCTGGCTCAATTCCCAGCAGGGGGCGTGCAGAAGGCAGCCAATGGATGATTCTCTCTCATCACTGATGTTTCTATGTCTTTCTCCCTTCCTTTCTGAAATCAAGAACATTTATGTTTTTAAAAAGAAATACATATTATTTACTTTTTATTATTTTTAAAATATTTTCCATATACATTTTTGGGAAATCTAATTGTCTTATTTTTGTTTCATGTTTTATTCAATTTTCATGTACAGGGCTGAGCAAAAGCAGGTTGACAGTAGTCATACAAATATATACAGTAATAAATAACAAATAATACAAGAATACACTTTTGCATATTAACCACTGTAAACATACTTTACTTTTATTTATTTATCAGTAGCCCAATGCACGAAATTCGTGCACATTAAAAGGGAATTAATTGCCCTAACCGGTTTGGCTCAGTGGATAGAGTGTCAGCCTGCGGACTCAAGGGTCCCAGGTTCGATTCTGGTCAAAGGCATGTACCTTGGTTGCAGGCAC